TTTCTTGAAAAATAATTCAAAGATTTTTATATAATTTTGAGCCACTCCATTTTGATTTTTTTGGAATAAGTTATGAATTTTTGAAGTTGGGCCAGAAAACTGGATTTTTACCCGATGAACAGTAAAAATCTGAAAATCAACGTTTTTCATGAATTTTTTGAGCCCAAGACCATCCAATGTGGTCTAAAATGGTTTTAATTAAACCCTAAGTAGATCCGATAGTAAGGTGTGACACGACCTGATAATCCTAGGGTCGCGACCTGAGTGCGTTAAGTGAAGCAGTGCATTTTGGAATAGGTTTCTGAGCTTTTACACTTAGGAGGCAGCCACTACGAAAAGAGAGTGTCCCATTCTACAGATTTACAAGGATAGAAGCCTCCTCCTTTCTCTCTCAAGCCTCCATTGATCTTACACCCAAAACCTCTATTTTTCTTTATCTCTTCATCATTTTCTGCATTTCTGAATCGATTAAACCACTTCAACCACCTTCTTCTCTATTTTTCCAACCCCATTTTTAGCATCAACCATGGCTATTCATTCCTGTAGCTATTGTGAGCAGTTTAAAGACATGAGAGGCTAAACCCTTAGCCTTTTGGTGATGGAGGATGAAGCTTGAGCTCAAGGACCTAATAAGGGAGTTATCGGTCTAAACTTGTGTTTGATTCTGTGTTAGAGATTTCTAGATTTAGGGATTTTTGCATCTGTTTTAGACTTGATTTATGATTGTAAATCTTTTGTTTAGACTATTGAATGTATTTGGATTGGATGCTATTAATGTTGGTTCATATATACATATTAGTTTTGAATCCCTGTGTTCATTTAATTATCAATGATCATTGGTGATTAATCTGTATGCTTGGTATTTAATGATTGTCAATTGACTTTCTGAGGACATTTGCATCATTCGTTCATCTGCACTCTAAGTGATTTCTAACAAATTTTAAGAGATGTTAATTAACGTTGATTAAAGTGAGTTTTCATTAATTAAGACATTAGATCCAAGTGATTACTTGGGGTTTTCTTCAAACTTAGATATTTTCTAAAACTCCCAATCATTTTAAAGAGCAGTGATAGCTGCGTTTCCATCATCAAGAGACTATTCACCATAATTCTCTTTTAATCCAAAACATTTCTTCATTCAATTAAAATATCGAAAACATTTAATTCTCTGCACTTTTCATTTATTGCACCACCTTAAACAGTTGAAAATCCCCCTTTTTCTTTATCCAAGTCATCATGTTTTTTATTACCAATTTAGACTAGGTTGTTTTCCAATAAAGAGCTCCCCAAGAAGAATGATTGGTTGTGCCCTATATTACATTATTTGGTGCAATCACAATTTTTGACGACTCGAAAGGCGACATTTTGGTTCAATCATAAATTCTTCACCCCAAGTTCTATTGTGATTTCTTTAATGCTTCTTTGAAATACTAGGTCTCAGATAATCTGAAACAAAGCAGGGAAAGGAACGATCTGATACAATGGGACCTTTTATGGGGGTTTCAGTTTGGAAACTTTTGCTTTGGCGTAATAAATCAATACTTGAAATAGAAGCAGACAATAGATTGGCGAATCCTGCTACTTCTATCTTGAATTGCTGGAAATTTTGTGTATGAATCTAATCAAGGGATAAATCTGCCTGAGGGCCAATTACTATGAATCAGCAAATGGTGTCCACCTCCTTGTGGCTGGGTGAAAATTAACGTGCATGGTACAATGAATCAAAGTTCTTCAAAAGCTAGCTACGGAGACATTGTGAGGGATAATTTGGTAGCTGGATTGCTAGTTTTTGTTACACCATTGGCATTACCAATGCAATAGAGGCAAAAGAATGGGCAGCTTTTAAAGGCTTATCCTTAGCTTAGGACTTTGGTTTTAAAAGAATTATTTTAGTGTCAGATACTTAGGGTCTAGTTGATCTTTCACTTCAACAGAAGCATAATGATAATGGTAGTCTAGTTTTGCTAGAATAGTTGCTATGCTGCGTTATAGCCGGGAGGTGGAAGTAAGATATATTCAAAGAGATGGCAACAAGGTAGCTAACGCTCTAGGTAAGATGGGAATTTCGTCGTACGTCTGCTCTTTTTTATGCTTGCTCATTTGAGATCACTATTGAGCAATGATTGTAATGGAATTAACTCTAACATTTAGTAATCTGGGCTTTTAGCCCTCCTTCAATGCCCAAAAAACAAAAGGTGACTAATACAAAATATGAGAGAATTCACATTATTTCTTAAGTTTTAAATTGATAAACACTACAAAAAAAACATGCTTTTAGCGACAGAATTTTTTATTTAGCGACAGACTAGCGACGGAAACGGATTAGCGACGGAATTTGTTCCGTCGCTAATCCTTTGTCGCTAATTGATTAGCGAACAGAATTTTTCCATCGCTAATCCGTCGCTAACTCGTCGCTAACTCGATTTTATTAAAATAAAATAAAATGTCACGTGACACCTTTACTAATTGCCACGTCATCACTGAGGACAACCTCCATGTGTCTCTGCCACCTCACCTCTACCTGCCACGTGTGCTGCCACCTCAATCTGCCTGCACGTGTGTTGTCACCTCACCTCTGCTGCCACATCACATGTCACCTTTGCCTGCCACGTGTCACCACTACATAATTCCCTCTTCAAAGTGACTTCTCCATGGCTCGAACCCAAGACCTCCTCTGTGCGCGCGTGCGGCTTTACCAGTTGAGCTGCAATGAACCTGTTGACTTATTATGTAAAATAAATATAAATATATATATATATAATTATTTTACACAAACAATTATAATATAATTAAAACTAAAAATATACTATATGATAATTTTAATCATAACTATTTAATGAAAAAATAATTTTTCAATATTTGTTTTATAATTTTATTTTTAAAAAAATATTTTTAATATAATTTTAATTTCTAACCGCACTAATCTTGAATTTAAATCATAAAATATTTTTTTATAAATAATTTTTTAAATTTATTTTTAATTAACATTGATAAGATATACAATTTAATGATATATGTATTATATTACATTATATTATATTATCTATATGTGTTTTATATATTTGAAGAAAATCATTTATAATTAGTCAAAAAATCTTGTTATTCAAAAAATAACTACTATAATAAAATCTAATAAATTATTCTATATAAAAAATTAAATGATTTGAATAGATTATGATAAACAGTATTCTCCTGCTTGTATATATATCCTATGTAATTTATTTCTTAAAATTTTTATATATACCATTTGTTTTTGTATTAAGACCAAAATCAATCTATCATGGGTATTAATTATATCGTGATTAAATTTTATTGTTTAATGATGAAATTCAAAATTCACTTCAATATTAATTTGCATTTATATAAATTATTAAATCATTTTGAATTTTTATCATATATTATATATTTCAATATATTTTACATATGATAAAATTATTTCTTTCTTATATCACTTGTATAAAAAAGTTATTAATATTCTTATTGTATTTTTTAATTATTATTAACAATCAAGAGGAATTTATTTTAACAAAATATAAATAAGTTTTCTAAGAAATTATCTTTCTATTTTCAGTATATACATAATGATAACATGAATGATGACGATATCTTATTAACACAACTCCATAAGTATATCAATTTATTTTATAATTAAAAATGTTTTTAAATCATTATATTCTTAATTGTTATAATATAATTTTTGTAAGATTATAATTTAAAATAACGAATTTAAAATTAGTGACGGATTAGCGACGGAATAGAATACGACGGAATTAGTGTGACAAACAATTTAGCGACGAAATTAGCGACGGAACTTTCTGACAGAAAAAATTCCGTCGCTAAATATTTACTGACGGATTTTCTGACGGATTAGCGACGGAATTTAGCGACGGACAAAAAATCCGTCGCTAATCCGTCGAAAAAATTAGCGACGGAATTTCCGCTGTAATTCTGTCAGAAATTAGCGACGGAATTTGTTTCCATCGATAATTAGCGATGGAATTTGTTTCCGTTACAAATTCCATCATTAATCAGCTGTTTTTTTGTAGTGAAATGAAAGCCTACTGTAATAACTTCAATAATCTTGAGCGTGCATAAATCATTTCTATTTAATTCTATTATTTTGGATCATTGAGTTAAATAATAGTATATAAGTTTATCTCCTCATAGAAAGCTTACAGGATTTGTTTTTGTATATATCGTTCATGTCTCATTAGGTCTCTGACATGGTATTCACGTTAATTTATAGGACATGTTATATATTCTCTCCGATATGACCGTAAGAGTTAGTTAAAAAGTTCTTTTTTTCTTAAATATAAGACTCTAATCCATCTATTTGTCATTCAAAATTTATATTTTTTTTTCAAACTATCTATATTAAGTGTATGAATTTCCATCAAAGAGGTAATTTAAATATCAGTAATTAAATAGGGTATTTTGGAAAAATATTATTTATTTTCTTACAAATAACTAATTGGTCTTCTTAATTTTTTTAATTAGTTATATATCTAGCTCCTACACTTAGAACCACATGGGGTATGACAAGATAAATAAAAAAAAGGAACTGGACAGAGTACTAAGCATGGTACCGACCATGCATTGCAAGGTTTTAACTAATAGTTAAGTAACAATACCAAAAAATACTAATTATTAAACGAATGCTTTTGTTTTTCGTTATATTATATCTTCTTTCAATGCATAAATTGTATTTTATTTAGAGAGCATCCATAATACATTAATGTTTGTTTTATCGATTATTTACCCGAGGAAGTAAAAACTGGCCGAGTCGTTTGTTCAAATTCAAATCAACATTCTTCGATTACCTGCCATATATTATATTACACATTTTATTCCCAGGCAATGCTACACACCAGTAATTTCTGCATATTACCGTGGTAAGTAACGGTAATTTATTTTCATGCTTGGTGATCATATATTACTGTCCTTAGATTGACTAAAGAAAACCCTTTTCTTTGCAGGACTTGATAGCATCATCATACATATCATCGACCCCATGCTTTAACTCGAATCCTGTGTCCTGGAGCTTTTTGTATGACAGGCAAGGATACTTTATCATTGTCGACCTTTGCCGCTGTAAAATTACTGCAAAATAAAATAGGAAAATTACTACATGGGAGAATCGCACCCCTCCGGTCGTTAATATATGAACTAATTATTAAGTTGATCTTGGTCCTAAATATAAGATATATTTGTCATATTTATCAATTTTTTTAAATTACCCCTACTAATACTCCATCAACTATAATCAAGTGGGAGAGGGGAGGAAGGATATTAAGGAAAATGATTACAGTGTTTTAGAAAAAATATGACATATTTTTTTTATAATTAACTAACTTACCTAACCTCCTTAATCTAATCAAATTAGTCAAATAGGTCTTATATTAAGAACTGGGGAGTATATTAGTTTAGAAACACGCAAATATTTATACAATTTCAGCAAAACTCAAGAAAAGTTAATGAAATTTATTCTTATGGTCTTTTTCTCAAACGAAGGAAAAGAGATTGGTTTCATAAGAAATGAGAAAAATGAAGAAAAGACAGAGAAATAACTAAACATACTGTGGTATTGTTATGCGATGCTGAGGACATTTCCGGGAAATCAGCTCATGTAACTGATGAAACGTAACTTGATGAAAACCACAAATAAAGCGTCCTTCAGCATTGCTATTTTCGAATAGGAATATAAGAGCCCTTGTGACATCATCTACGTGTACCATGTATGTGTTTCCAAGAGTTTTGCATTGGCTCTCGTCTCCTGAATAAATAAATTAAACAAAATGTAGCTTTAATTAGCAATACATTGCAAAACATAACATTCGTTGTGTCTTTCTAGATAGTTAGGGTTTTCGGTTCACATGGCACAAATATGACATGCAATAGGTTTTCTCATAATGTCATTTCTCCCTTTTCTATCCATCTGAAATATTTAAAGTAATTTTCTTTCAAAGTTTAAATCTATTTATCAATAAGAATATTAATCTGACAGAAAAAAAGGCACGGATTCTAAACTGTGGGGTAATCTTAATTTCATAATACTGATCATGTGGAGATATTAAAAGTAAAAAAAAAAAAAACCGGATAGAGAATAGAAAATTGGTATCTTTCATATTTGTTAAAGTACCTTTTGTATTATTTTCAAAAATAAAAATCTTTTTTGCATAATTTTATTGTTTTAATTGTCGCTTGATTGCAATATAGTATGCTCATTAATCCTCAAGTAATATCCTTGGGAATCATACTACGGTTCTGATTACTGGTAAGTAAAATTCAAATTAAAGAAGATATATGTAAGCCTAGTCAATATGGATAATAGAATGTTAATGCTAAGGGGGAAAAAGATCAAAGCGCATCATATTATTTACAAGCCACAAATTAGTGTGATTCATTTCCCGAATTACATCAAAAAAGGTTCTTAGTCTTTTGATAAATTTTTAAAGGAGTTTATAGGATCTATTTTGCACATCTATCAACACTACAATGAATTTTTCAAAAAATAAAACTTATTTTTCAAATAAAAATTTATACATACATACATACATACATGTGTATATACATAGAGAGAGAGTCAAAATATTCATACCTTATCTAATAATAAATATATAAAAAATAAAGCTTATTTTTTACAAACACCTTATTTATACATGCATGTGTGCGTAGAGAGAGAGAGTCAAAATATTCATACCTAAGATCATGGAAAGTGCCAAACTAATTGCCGTTGGCATGTTGGGGGCAAGAAAAGGTCCAACAACCAAAGGAAGAACAAAGCTTACAACCTTCATTTTCATCTCATTTTCCTTTCCAAATTCCAACACAGCCTTCTCAGTCAATGTCTTGGAAACGAAATATGAGGACCTCAAAGCAGCGCTTGAACGCCCAATTTCGAGTTCACTCCATGTCGTTTCATCAACCATTTCAATACCTTCAAAGTTCTTAAACATCACTGCGGCTAAACTTGAAGTGAAAATCACTTTCTTTACTGTGTTTGAACTCAGACATGTCCTAAGAATCCCTAGGGCTCCTTCCATGGCCCACTTGGTCACGACTTCCTCCGGCTGCTCGCCTCGCCTGTCCATCGGGTGGGCAACATGGAAGACTCCCACACTCCCTTCAATGGCTGCCTTGAAGCTGTCTGGTTCTTCGAGGTCTGCTTTGAAGATTTGGAGCCTCTCTAGTGCTCCTTGGAGGTTTGTGAGAAAGCTGAGGTCTTTGTTGCTTTCTGATATTATATTATACAAGGTTTTGGTGAGTTATGAACTTATGCTCAAATATGTGTGTGTGTGTGTGTGTGTGTGGGCCTACAATTAGAATAATAGACTGATTAAGACAAATATTCAAAACAATGATTATATGTATTAGTAGGAATAATGTTTTTTTCCTTTTGAGAAAATTTAGCTTTGATCGTTTTAGTTTCACTTGGTTTTTAATGCATCACACGGGCCTTAAAAATGATCCCATAATAATAGGAACTCTAATGGTAGATATAGTTTTACTATATTACGGCAAATGATAGAAAACTAGTTTCAAATTATTTAAAGGAACTAAAATACACTTTTAGTCCTTTAATTTTACCTAAGGTTTTATTTTAGTTCTTTAACTTTAAAAATTAAACTTGTAGTCCTCTAATCCTAAAACTATTTTTGAAAAATGATGATATTGAGTTCTTAAATGTTAATAAAATATTATTAAATACTAACATATTAAGTTTATTTTTGAAACAACGATAATTGTTACAAAAAAATAATCATGTAAGACTAATAATTTTAGGGTTAAATGACTAAAAGTGTACTTTTTAAAATTAATGGACCAAACTAAAACCTTACATAAAGTTAAAAAACTAAATATATACTTGAGCCTATTTAAACGTGTTTAAGTCAATTCCTCTTTGGTCAATTATATTCCCCAAATAAGGACGTATATATACGGGACTTTATTAACATATAAGAATCACTGATTGAGACCGTCCATAGTTAAATAACTATCTTAGGATTTAACTATCATTCTCTCAAGAAAATTAATTCTGTAGAAGGTAAATATATGAATATCATTATACTTAACCAAATTTATAGCAAGTTATACTGTTTATAAACCATAAATAGTATCACTCATAATGCACAAAAAATTGGTAGTTATTCAACCAAAAAAATTCGTATATTTGGTTTTTTTTTTTAATATCGATGTTAATGCACATAAATATATATCTCGGCAGAACATAAAGTTGAGATCACTCTCTCAAGTTTCAAAAGAGATACAAGTTAAAGTAGAGGAAAAAAAATAGAAACCGATTTCGAACTTAAAGTCTTGTGTAGTTGAAAAGGAAAATAGTGTATATCATTAAAATGGAATAAAACTAGAAATGCTCTCTTCTTCTACCCGTGTTATAAGATACAAATAATCAAATTAGCTACATAGAAAAGTTGGTTAATATTAGTTAAAAATGATAAATATGAAGAAAAATGCAAATTCATTTTCAAAAATACGCTTACCCAAAGTCAGCTAGTGGGTGACAGAGAGAATGAGTGAATACGAAGATCAAATAATTAATGCACTAGGACTAATCAATAATTAGTGTGAAAAAAGCTGAAAACTGATATTAAAAATTTTATATAGGATAATAATGTCTCTTACAAGTAAGAATATCCCACCTCTTAAAAAGTTCTCATATATAGGACTTGGAGAGTGTGTGTGTGTACACACACACACACATATGGACATTTGATGGTTTGTTTTCAGATAATCTACAAATTATACTTCATCGTGGCCGTTTAAGTATACTTCATTGTCATTTACAAAGTGTTACTGAATTCAAATAATCTAAAGGATAAAGAAAGGAAGATCAGTTGCTAGCTGCAGTAGATTCATTTACATCTCTCTTCTCATACTTCAAATCTGAATCTATGATTCTTAAAAGCATAGCATATGCAGAACAGAATATTTTGAAAGAGCATACAAAGAACGCTAAGTTTTTGTCAAGAAGTGAGTACCTCGATCGGATCTAACAGTAGTACGAACAGAATAGCCTTGTTGAAGAAGCCTCATAATCAGCCAAGAACCTATGAACCCGTTACCTCCTGTAACACAAACTGGACCTTTATCAGCCTCCATATCTCTCTCTCTATACTTTTGCTCTCTTAATTTCTGAAGCCAAGAGTTGTGCAGTTAATGCGTCACTGTTATGATGATGGAAGTAAAGGCTGAATAAAAAGGCTCTTAAATACCACATTCCTTGGCGCCACTAAGGGTCCCCACATTTCTTACAGGCCATTCCAGCCATATATTTTAGTTGATGATCATAATAATTTCATATAAATTGATAGGTTGTTGTACTATAGTTGTACAAAATATATTTATATTTCTTCTCAAAGAACATCATCATGCTCTTTCCAGAGCTGTTCTTTCGTCATTTAGTATACCAGGCCGTCCTCACGGCGTCACCTATCCCTTTTTATTATATTGCTTTAATGTCATTCAGAGATTAAAAAAAAAAAGAGAATTATTCGTTGAAGTTAGGTATACTTTCGTTCTATATTCAAAACTAATACGTACAAAATTCCTTTAAATTTTTATCAAAATCACAAAGATTTCTCCACTATTTTTTTGGCCTGAAATTTCTCCACTATTTTCAAATTTGCATCTTTGTTGTGATAGTAGATCTGTACTACCTATACAGTATACTCTCCATGGTCTCACATAATAGGATTCTTCTAGAAGGTTTATTGGGTTTTTTTTTTTATAGTTTTAAGTAGCATTAAATATTTTTCCTCTATAGATGATCATATTTAATTAATAGAATAAAACACATCGATCTCCCCTCTATATAACCTAAATTATAGAAATCTTTCTTTTATTTTGAAAACCTATATGAACATTCTTTACAATCAAAATATATGTTGATTTTAATGCCAAATTAAAAGATAATTTTAATTCATATTTTAATATTTTTTGTCATACTGTTAAATTGATAACCATATTACAAGTTTAGTTAATTCATAGATAAATTTTTTTAATAAATTTAATCTTGTTTATTTATCAAAACTTACTTGTGATGTAATATTTTAAATATATATATATGTTCATTGAAAATGTTTTGCAATCTTATATATGCATTTTGCAATCAAGTTGTTGGTATTCAAGTTACTTAAATTTTGTCCAAATTTAGTAAAAATATTAAATAGTGTTAAATATGGTTAGTTATGATGATGTCAAATATTAAAGAAAAAGTTTGAATAATATATATATCTCTCTCTTTATTTGACTAAATACTATATTTAAGGTGATTATCTTAGGGAAAATGGCAAATAAAGGCCCGCCAATATATGAAATTGTTATTTGGGTTCCTGAATTTGGAAAATGGCTTCAAAGGACTTGGTCCCATATTGCAAATATAAAATCATGGTGAAATATTTGAAATACCCCTCAGCTAATTGGAAGGAAAAAAAACTTGTCTGCACTCTCTCCCCCCAATTACGATAACTTCCTTCTACTCTGTCCAGTCTCTCCATTCTCTGCACTCTATCCATTTTCGCTGAGGAGTTTGCTTTCATTTTGCAGTAACAACATCGATGAGAGGAGTATTGTGTGAGAGAAGAGTGTATTTATTGTGGGAGAGGCAAACAGAGTAGCAATCGAGTAGTGATCTGTTGGCATTGTTGAAGGCAGGGGGAGTTAGAGGCATCATCGCACAGTCGGTGGCCATCGTCGTGTGTGGTTATCAGAGTTAACAGCGGCATTCAGCAACAAAATCTAGTGGTAAGTTTGATGCTTTGGTTTGTTTGTGTTGGTTGCTGCATGTGTGATACACTGAAGAGAGGGAATGCATTTAGGGCATGAAAGTATATATATGTTTGATAGAACCCAATTCTTCTATGATTTTTCATATCATTTTCAGGGTTTTTATTATTGATTTTGACTCTTTTTTATGATAATTGTGCTTAATTTAGATCAAGAGTCCTTATTGTGAGTTAGTGTCTTTTTTAGGGTAAAATTGTCATAATTGGTTATTAATTGCATTCAATTGATTTCTAGGACAATTGATACTTCAAACCATTACTTTTCATTATAGGATACTTAAAAGCTAGAGCCAAGATTAAAGACCAAGAGATTGAAACATACAAGATCAAGAGTATCGACATTAGAAGAGTTCGTCGCGGCGAATGCTATGCATTGCCATGGTGCAACATCTCAATTTCACCAGGGACCTCTTGGGAATGTTCATTTAGTCGCGACTAAAATATTATTTTGCTACGACAAAATGCCTCATATCAGTAACGTCAGATTCGGGTCAGAACGCGAAAATGGAGCATCTACTCAAATGATCCGACCTAGTTGGACCCCTAAAACCCTTAGAAACCCTATTTCCGTCCCATAACTCCATTCTCTCATTAACAACACCTCTATTCTCCCATCTTCTTGCCTTTCCACCTCCATCCTTTTCCCCATCAATTTCCTTTACTTTTTCTTCATCCTACCTCATTTTCTTCATCTCCTAGCTGCTATGGCTGAAGATTCCACTCTGGTTGGGGCTGTTTCCAAGGCTATGGTGGGCTAAGTTTTACAACTCTTGAAGATGGTGGAGTGGCATGAGTTTCCAAGCTTCAAAGGGGAGTTTTATTTTCAATCTGTAGTTTTTAGCTATGTTCTTATGAATTCCTAGGTTTAGGAGTTGTAATTCTTAGTTAGATACTTGGATTGCTGCTGTAATCATTATTTGATGATTTATAATTGTAGTTTGGATTGGTTAATGTTGAATTCTGTGCTTCAATATATGTGGTTGCATATATGTTTCATGTAATCCTATTAATTCTCCTTTATCTTGTATGGTTGTGTTTTGATATTGAGTTGATGTTAGGTTGCGTTGAACCAATTGCATTGATCATTCTCAAATTGTGCATTAGGAGAGCTTAACAGTGCCTTCATTAATGAAGTTCATTGATTTAAACATTGGACTCAATAGGTAATTGAGGTTGTTATTCAAGAAAACCTAATGATTTATAAAACTCCCAATATCTTAAGTAAACTATGATTGCCATTAAAACCATTTTCAAGAGATTTCCTATCATCCATTTCCATTCCATCACCATCTTATCAAAAATACCAAAAATACAGTAGCTTAGATTTGTTTTCATTACATTTGGTTTAGTCATAATTTAGTTTTAATCTTAAAAACCCAAAACCCCCTTTCATAGCATTGCATGGCATTTAGTCTAGCTTAGGTCATTAATAAAGGCTCCCAAAAGTAAACACAACCCAGATTGCACTGCTATACTGCATCTCTTGGATCCGGTTATAAAACTATTATTTTTGACCTCAAGGAGTAGCAACACGGTAGAATCAATTTTTTTCTATCGAATAAGTTGTGATTGATTGACCAAAAATGCTTATTTATGGAAGAACATGTGTGAATGGGTTTAGATGGGAAGGGAATGACAAGATCAGTTAGGAAGATGTCAAGATTATTTGGAAAATGACAACACAGGAATTGGTAAAGTGCAAATTGAATTAGTTAAGTGTAAATTGATTTGAAGAGATGTTAAAGCATTTGTTTGGTTTAAAATGACAACATAAAAGTAGGTATTTAACAAGGTTAGTAAATAAAATATAAAGTTTAGTGAAATTACACTTGTGAAGTTGAGAGTAAAAAGCTGAGTAAGGGGATTGACAAGTTGATAATATAAAATAACAATTATGAAATTGACAAGTTGGTAATAGGAAATAACAAGTTTAATATAGTGAATAACAAGTTATTGAGTAGTTGGGAATAAGAAGGTTGCCATGGGGTCCTAACAAGATAATAATAGGAAATGGCAAGTTTAAAATTGACAATAACAAGTTGGGAATAACAAAGCCGAGTATGACAATTAGAGAACTTTATAATTTGAAATAACAAGTTGATAATTGTAAATGACAAGTTAATGATTAGAAATAACAAGCATGAGAAGTAGTTGAGAATAACAAGTTTAACTTGAGAAATTGACAACTTGTTTATAGGAAATTACCAGTTGATGTTTTGAAATAAGAAGTCAATGGTAGTGATGTAAGAAGGCTGTTGCTTAAAGAATAGGTTGTTAATAGAGGTGATAGCTAGTTAGTAAATGTGGTTGTGAACTATTGTGTGTTGAATGTTTTGCAGGAAAAGGAAGATGGCATCAGATGGAGCCTCTAGATCAAAAAAGACATACAATGGTTGGTTGTTATTCAAAAATGAGTTTATGGCCATAATAGTTGACCCTAACATGACAACCAAACAAAAAAGAGATGCTACGTCAAATGTATGGAAAGCTCTGTTCGCTGAAGAGAAGATAAGGTACACTGAGAAGGCAAAGAAAACAAGGCCACAAAAGGGAGAAGAGGAGAAAAAGAAACATGTTCCATCATTTCTAACCCGAGTGTCCCTGAAAGGTTTAAGAAAATTACTATACTTTGTGAATAATAATGAAGACTTAAGGGAGAGGGTTGAAATGATAGGCTTTGGGAGGCTGTTGAAGGTTTGATTAAAGAGATTACCCCATGATCTTATTATGACCATGCTGAGATCATATGACCTACCAATGCATCAATTTACTATCAGGGGCAAATAAGAGGAAATAGGAGCAGAAGATGTTGAGCAGCTCCTAGGAATCCGTCACGGTAGGGAGAAGGTGAAAACTAAAGTTGATGAGGGTGATACTACGTATAAGGAGTTGAGAAATGAATATCAGAAATTGTCATTCAGCAAAATACTAAAAGAGATTATTTTAGGGGAGAAAGATCACATATTTGAGTTTTTATTTGTGCTGTATGTACTGGGTACTTTTCTATGTCTGAAATCAAGTTCAAAAGTGAGTGAGAAGTTGGTCAGAGTCATGCATTGCACAATGGATGACTTTGGAAAGTATGATTCGGTAGAGGACATCTGGAAAGAAATGGGAGACTATGTCAAAGCATACAAGCAGGGTAATGAAGGGCAAGGGAGCAATACTGTTAGTGGCTGCATATACTTACTTATGCTATGACTATTTTGTTGCTCATTGCATTTGCATTTCATTAGCGATGTGCATAACATTAATGTTGTATATATGTGACTGGCTTGTAGTTTTTTTTTTGTGTGAGCATTTTAACCTTAACACAACTGTTGGCCGAGA